AATTTTATTGAAAGTGATCTAAATGACGTGATTATATCCTCAGGTAATATAGCTCTAAATTTTATACAATCGAAATCAGTCAATATATTATATCGTAGACCAAAAGAAAGGAATAAAGTGATGAATATATTCGTCTGAAATACTGCTTTTCTCAGTCTTCTTACTTGCGACAATAGCAATAGCTTGTGCACCTTTTCACACAATTTTTTTATATGACATCTAATAATTAGCCCAAGATATAGATATATACGTATTTATATGCGTATATATCTATGTGTATTGAAATGTTGTTTTGTACATGTACGCAATTACAGTCTGTTTGATTGAAAACCGGAAGGAAGGAAAATATTTGAGAGATTTTAGGATGGCAATTGATAAATTGAGATGTTTTGGTAGGAAGGAAGTTTGGATGGATTGGAAATTTAGGTGGAAAAACTAAGGAGTGGGTCCTACTATATTTCTTTTTTCCACAAGTGGGCGGAAAATGTAATGAAAAATGCGGACAGCTAATTAAAGTGAGCAAGATTAGTAAAAAAAAAAAATTAAAGTGAGCAAAGTTACTAAACTACTATTTTCTCCATCAACATCCAAGTAAAAAGTTTAAGCGGCAATTTTGAAAAATTAAGCTAGCGGGTGGTTTGTATTTGCTAATGTATAGCAATTGTATGAAAGCCCTATCTCGTTGTATTTGAAACTTCATATTTAATGCATGATACGTTGAATGTTAATGACAAATGGTGATGCTAAATTATTTTTATTGCTTTTTTGGGAACTAAAAAAGATATGGTTAATACTACTTGGATAAAATGGTAATTGCCCCTAAAATAATTCTTCTGTTATTTTAGTTTCACTTCCCATGTCAAACAAGAGAAGGTAAATTCATTTTCATTCTTCTCGATCATACCAAACAACTAGAGGGAAAATCATAATCTTTACTTTCCTTTTAATTTTTTATCCTTTACAATTCTTCCTTTCCTCTCATTTTCTTTCCTTCTTACCAAACAGAGTGTTAATGTTTAAATGACATTTCAAAGTGGGGTTCTAAAAAAGTGGGAATATTGTTGGCAGAACAACGTAAACGCATCATTGGGTTTTGATTTTGAGTTTATAGACCTTCAGTTTAGGTGGTTACCTTGTTGGCCACTACGGAGGTGAAGGACATGTTTTTGTAGCTTATTTGTTTATTTATTTTTTTGAATTTTGAATAAAAAGAGGATCATTAATGTTATCCCATTTCTTTTTTTTTTATCATTTTGAAAATTTTAAGGCTCATTAATAGAACAGAAAGAACTTAATTAAATTCTATTCGAAAGATGAACTTTACATTCACTCGTACTATCATACACTCAACGCCGCACAGTATATAATTGATCGAATAAGAATCTTAAAATAAAGTAGTAAAGTATCGAATCCTACGCGCATCTTGAGAGAAGAAGTAAAAAAAAAAATAGCCTTACTACTATACTAACCCATTAGTGGTTTTGTAGCTTGGTTATATAATTAGGTATTAGCTGTTAAAAAAAGAAGAATTGTGAAGGATGAAAAAACACTACCGTTGAAACAAATTAATGGTATAACCTTAATTTTTTTTTTTTTAAAAAGATGATGCATGAATTTATAAGTCTAACTTTTTCCAATATTCATTTACACCAATTATGATATATTACGCACTGAGATTTATATCTTGACAGATTAGAGAGTTGGACTATTCACACCCACTTTCTCTCCAACCTTTCATATGATCAATATCAAGGAATCCAAATGCCATTTGTCCTTTGAATCCAAAAGGCGGCATCATTGTCACATTGAGTAAATCCTTATTTGTTGAAACAACACTTGTATATGAAAGAGGATATATATACACACACACACACATATATATATATATATATTCAATTAAGTACTTGGTTTTTCTGAAAATGCTCCATTGGTACATAGCTAAGGCAATGAGAATTAAATAGAAATATATCCCAATTATATTAACAACCTTATAGTTTCTCTTGTTAGCTAAATATCCAAAATGTTTCTTTCATTATAGATTTTGCACTTGTATTACTCTTATAATATTAGAATTAATCTTAGGTTAACTAGCTAGCTTTAGATAGAGCTCTACACATGAACCCTAAACCCTAAACCAGCCACACATTTATAATAATAAAAAAAAAAATCTTCCATCAACCACTGTTACTAATATAAGGGTTATAACTTTTCTTTCACTCACACTTGAATGAAGCCTCGTGAACTTTATTTATTTATTTATTTTGGAAATTTTGACAATACAAATAATTAGGAAATAGGTAATTTTAAGAAAACCCTCCGGTTTGGATCCAACCGAACCGTCCTTTTTGATCTTTTTTGGTTCGGTTTATTACCAAACTGACCATTTAAATTAAACTGTACCATGAACTAGAACTATGGTTAATTTGAGTGTACATTTTCTTATATATATATATGATGGTTAATAAATCATTCACGTGATTAGCATACAAGACACAAGTACTGCGTAGGCACATATATATATATATATATAATATTCAATCTTCATGCATGATATATATAATTTCTGAAAGTAACTTAACAGGAGACAAACTCAAGAAAATATAAATGTTATTAAGGGCATCACATTTATCGTTTTCTGTCAAATTAAAGTGAGCCCTGCCAAAGACATGATACAACATATAAGTTTTGAATTATAACATTAAAATATTTTAAAATTTTGTCTTTGGTCCGTGAATAACTTCTATATATACACCAGTCCTATCTGGAATTTAAATTTGTGTCGATTATAAAAATATGGAATAAAATTATTTAGGTATCTTGTGTTATAGCGAAACACATTCTTAGTACTCTGTGTTTTTTATAATATTAAAACGGTACCTCGACGTTTTAAAAAACATCTTCTTAATATCTTGAAGTTGATTTTTAAGATGTAAAATAATTTTAATACCCTTCTATTTAATTAACCAAAAACTAATAAATATAGAAAAAAAATCATGAACTTTTTTATCTGTTGTTTTCATTTAATATTTTATTGTTTTAAAATATTTTCATATTTTTTTAAAGAAATATTGATTCCTATTTAATAAATAAGAAGTGTAGTTTAGACATTATATGTCTTAAAAATTAGCTTCACGATACTAAAAACATGTTTTTAGAAACATCGATGCACCGTTTTAATATTATAAAAAAACACAAGATATCAAGAGCATATTTCGCTATAACAAATGGTACCAAAATGAGTTTGGTGATGTTTGGTAGATGGATTCGTTTCCTGATTCGAATTATAGTTCGTGATTTGTTACAGTATTTTCTCTCACAAAATATACATGTAAATCAAAAATAGTTCTAATCACATAGTTTTAATCCATGAACTAAACGCACCCTTTATCCCTGAAAACATTGATAAGAGAAGTGATATTGTAAGGGTAGAAACGTCAATGTGTCTACATTTTTTCAGAGCTAGGTTCCAAATTACACACTTGTAGAGGAGACCTTGCTAATTTTTCCTTGAAGAACATGCATATCAATCTTTTTAGTTATATAATTTCTCTGTCTGTCTCTTCCTCTGTCTGTCCTCTCCACTCTCTGACACACTACTCACCATATAGCGTAAACTTGATGCCTGATAGTGCAAGCAAAGCAAGCACACCTCATCACCTTTTCGCACTTTCTTTTTTATTTTTTTGTGTTTATTTTTTTTCTTTAAAAAATAAAATAAAATCCTCTCATTTCCTTCCTCACAAGACTCACTGCATATTTTTCTTTAGTCTGAAAAATAATAATAGTAAGTGGTCTTTCTACAGTACGATATCATATTAGTGGTGCACACGTTTCTGACCATCGGATATGATTATACCGATAAGGCATGTATCATACAGAAAGTATAGGTTTCTCACGGTTGAATATGCTCAAAATTATATCAAAATAAAAAAATAAATATCTATTTAATTCGTTGATTTAAAATTTTAATTTAAGTTAAGATATGATATTGTGTTAGTATTTTTTATTGTAGTAAAAAAGTTAAATGTGATTGTTTCTGAAAATTTTTTACTGTAATAAAACTCGAATTCTAAACTTAAATCGGTAAAATGCACTGGTCTAGTATAACATAGAGGGCCCGTTCACTTCGCTGATTCGAGTTTATAATTTGAATTGGGATGTGATTTTGTATGAGAGCTTTTTACTGTAGCAAAAAAGTTAGATATGATTATTTCTGAGAGCTTTTTACTGTAGTAAAATTCTAATTCTAAACTCGAACGGCGAAATGAACAGGGCAGAGTTTGTTATATAAATTTGACGTCTAAAAAATATAGTCATACTCGAGTTCATTTTTCTAGATCCTATGCACCAGAAAAATCTATTTATTAAAAAAAAAAAAAATTCTTTTTGTTCTCCTTATGGCTCTCTCACTACTACTATAAGGCATAAGATCTTGTTTAGTGCTTCACTAGCAAAACCCACCTCCTAAACTCTCTCTCTCTCTCTCTCTCTCTCTCACTCACTCTCATTTCTATCTTCTTCACCGTCCAAAATTATCTGCTGCTGTTATCATGTCGTAATTTATCCTTTCTTCTCATTTCAACGATCATCAAACATTCCTCTTTCATCTTTTTTTTTCTTTCAATCTTGTCCTTTTGCTGCGTGGAAACTACTAGCCCAGCTAGTACTACTGTTCCCAGCTTCATAAGTAATTAGATTTTCTTTCTTAGAGCAAAAACTTGACGTGAGTTTAATTTTCTTGTCTTCTTCATATCCGTTTTGTCTAAGCTAGTTTGAATCTTTCAAGGGTCTTCTAATACTTGTTTTCTTTCTTTGATCATGGAGTCTTTTGTTTGTTTTGAATAGTGTTTGACCTCCATTTCCTTTCTTATAACTCAGAGAAAGAAAGTGCTTTTCTCTACTCAAAATTGGTCCTCTCTCATTGCCAGTAATATTTTCCTGTCTACAGTAGTACTTTCATCTTCTTTCTTTCTTTCTTTCTTTCTTTTCTTTCTCTTTCCTTCTCAGTTGACCTCCAGGTAATTTTTTTAATATATATAGGATATTCAAAGTGTGGTCATGAAGATCAACCTTTTGCACTTCTTTGATCAAAAAGCCTCTCCTATAGAAGCTTAATTATACTCTCTTTATTTTCCTCTTCACCTTCCAATTATTTCTTGTGATTTTCTCACTCTTTCTCTCCTTTTGTTGTTTGGTCTGCAAGAAAATAACAGTTTTAGCTAGGGAGTACTCCAATTAGATCACATGAGGCACTAATTAAGAAAATCGTCAAATTCCTTAAGTTTCCTTAGCTATAGGTCCTTTTTCATAACCCAAAAAAGAGAGAAAAAACAAAAAGAAAGTTATGGAAATTTCAAGTAGTCATCAACAAGCTGAAGCTGGAGAGATGCCAATCCCCATAAACAGTGCACCATATGGTGATCATGGTAGTACTACTGCTCATCACATGATCCATCATCACCATCATGATCATCAACCCCACAACCACATGATTAAAAACAATCCTTCCTCATCAGCATCAGCATTAGTAGTCCCCCAAGCAAACATCCCCAGCTCAAACAATAACAACATTAATGGTGGCAGTACTAATCCCCTACTTCCCACCACCACCAACACTACCCTACAAGATCATGATCATCATCAATATCATCACGTGGGGCCCTCCAAGAAGCAGGTGGTGATCATAAGGTACAGGGAGTGTTTGAAGAACCATGCAGCCTCCATGGGAGCCAATGCCACAGATGGGTGTGGGGAGTTCATGCCAAGTGGAGAAGAAGGCACCATTGAAGCCCTCAAGTGCTCAGCCTGCAATTGCCACAGAAACTTCCACAGGAAAGAAATTGACGGTAGTGATCATGATCATCATGATCAATATCATCATCATCATCAGTACATGATGAGATCAAGAAACAAGTTCATCTTGGGTTCACCAGGAGGACAATATCACAACCCTACAATGGCGGCCCGGGCGCAACTGCACCATCAACACCACATGATCATGTCATACAACAACGTGATGGGGTCCCACCACCAGCAGCTCCCTAGTTCAGATCAGTCTGATGATCAGCGGGAAGATCATGATCATCATGCTGGTGTAGGTGGGGTAGGGATTTTAAGGCCTACCCCACAAGGGGTGATGAAGAAGAGGATCAGGACAAAGTTCACACAAGAACAGAAGGAGAAAATGCTAAACTTTGCTGAGAAAGTTGGGTGGAAGATTCAGAAGCAAGAAGAGTCTGTTGTTCAACAGTTCTGCCAAGAGATTGGAGTCAAAAGGAGAGTTCTCAAGGTTTGGATGCACAACAACAAGCACAATCTAGCCAAAAAAATTATTATTCTCCCATCTTCTAATTAATTAATTAATATTTATTTATTTTCCATCTCTCTCTCTCTCTCTCTCTTTCTATATATATACACATGTATCTTCTTAATTTTGTAGTTTGTTCTTTACCTCTACGTAGTACTCTCATGATGATTAATTAACTTTGGAGTGCTTTTTGTGTTTTTTTAGTCCTTTTTTCTTGTCATTTTGTGGTGGTGTCTAAATTTGGTACTATTATATTGTGGCTAGTTTTTTGTTAGAGCTAGTGTTTAAAAATAACATTGGTTTAATATTTCTGATTATATATTAGAAACAAATTATCCATCCGGGTTTGATTGGGAGTGTTCGGATAATTATCTATTGATCTTTTTCCTTTTTCTTTTTTGGGGAATATATATTAATTGTTTGCTTGTAAAATGGATAATCTATTGATATATCCTTGCTTAATGTTCCATTTATTTAGTAGAAATTGGATTCAAATTTGATGTCTGGATGATATTATAATATTATATTGTATGAGTCTGCTGATGAGTACTCCGAGAGATGTACTGAACTCTTATTCTGAATAATCAAGTAAGAGCTACTAATTGAGTAGTTAATCAATGCTTATTATTTTGTTATTATTATATATGCTAGAAACAGTCCCCTAGATTGTAAAAGAATTAATTAAGAAGAACAGATTATCAGGAGAACAACAAGCATATATACATATGTATGTTTTATATATAAACGTGTATTTACGCCATAATTAACTACCAATGCATGTTTCGTTTTTTTGGGTTAAATATAATGAATGCATGTTTTTTCTTGCCTTTATTAACACTGCGTCTCGTTATTAGCAATCTCTTGCCTTCTGTAAAGTGGTCATGTACTTGAGGGTTTCTTGCTGTTTATATGTACTTTTTGGAGAAAATGACATGGTATTATAGGGTTCTGCAAAAAAAATACTTTTTACTAGTATGACACTATTACAAATCCTCATATCACGTATAAATCACATGACAATTCAGAAAAAAAAAATTAAAAGGGAATTAGCAAAAAGTTGGACGTTTTAGAACTCGTTTTAAAATGATTTTATTTTTATGTATAAAAATGAAAATGAAAACGTTTTTAATTTTAGACAGAAATTATTTTTAAAAATTCGTTTGGTAGTTTTATCAAGAGATTATTTTCAGTGTAAAAAAACTCATTAATATCTTTATTTATTTCTCTGCTCGAGAGAGGAGAAAACGAAAACAAAAAAAGAAAAACGACTAAAAGTCATTTTTCATTTCTCTCTCATTTTACACTAAACTAAAAAATCATTTTCATTTCTGTTTTTTATATTTATTGCGCCAAACACCGTTTTGAGAACGTTTTCATTTTTTTTTCTGAAAAAACGTAAAAAATAAAAACGGAATCAACTCCAAACACGGCCGTTATGTCTTAACTGGTAGGGTGTTTTTTTTATACTGTACCATAGAAATTTTCCAATTAACCATCTTGTGGACCTTTGTTGTAACATTTTTATTCCGGTTTCCATAGCCCTTGGTCGTTGAATAAAGGACGTACTAGCTGAGGGTGTTTTTTAGTTTCTTTATTTTTACTCATAGTATTATAGTTTCTCAACACATACCAAGAACTATGATAACGTTACACATGCGATAATATATGATATCAGTAGCTAATTTAGTTTTCTTCTTTCTTCGTCGAATAGAGCTTAGGGGCTCGTGGAGCCCTAGCTTCGCACCTAATAGGTGCTGGGGGGTCATCACACTTGGCCTAGCGTCTATTAGATGCGATGTTGGGGCTCGCGGAGACTCGAACCCTTCATCTTTTTTCTTAGAAACAAAAGATATATTTGTATCTATATACTTACTGATGGGCAACTCAGCATTTCTGGACTATAATTATAGCTCATCCTGAAATATATTTATGCTTCTAGGCTCACTTATAACATCATTTTTAATTACTTTTAGTATTTGAGTACTGTTGAAAATGAGTTATTTACGTGACATATCTTTGTTTCATATCATACCTAATGTTGCAACTTGCATGTGCTAAACCCTACATGGGTACTTGATTTTTCTCTCCTTTTAAAAAAAAAAAAAAAAAAAAAAAAAAAAAAAAAAAAAACCCCTTTTTTTTAAAAAAAAAAAAAAAAAAAAAAAAAAAAAAAAAAAAAAAACCCTCTTTTGGCTATATATATACTGAGGAGGATCAGGATTTATTTAATGAGCAAAAAGCATAAAATCAGAAGGAGACCAATCCATGATATGTTTAACAGTTAGTCGTAGGATTTTGCCGTTATTTTAATATCTGAAAAACACACAAACATCAAGCATATATTGTTTCCAACACTTGGAAGTTTAAGAGGAAAAGAAAAGAAAAGGGAAGCTATAATAGTTTTGGTATCCATCCCTGGAAAGGATTACAAGATTGATGAGAATTATAGAAGTTAACATTTAGAAAGAATACTTTTGTTTATTATGAAAAAAATCCATATAATTTAACTTCTTTTTTTTTTTTGAGAATTATAGAAGTTAACATTTAGAGTAATACAAAGGACATTCTCTTCATAAAGAAACCTTTTCAAAAATTTTACTAACATAAGGATACTTTTGCTATTATATAAAAAGAAATCACATAAGTTAGCTTTTTTTTTTTTTTTTTTATAATTACATAAGTTAGCATTTAGAGTGAATATATGAATATAAAGGAAATTCCTTTTATATAAAAACTTTTTTCTTTTTTATGTGTGGCTGTTAGAATTAGCTTAGATTTCTAACTAAAGCCTAGAGGAGAGAAGTAGGCTATCACGGCCTTAATTAGATTCAATTATTGTCAATAAGAAAAATAAGATTTTAAGTAATTATAAAAAAGAGAGAAATGAAATATTCTTCGATGGCGTACTTAGCTAGTATAATATCAACAGTGCAATAATGCTAATTTAGGATAATAATCCTTAAATGTGACTTGTGTACTAGATTAATTGACCTGAAAACAGAACTCTTTTAGACAAATTAGTTTTGCCTGTATTTGTGGTTCAAAATTGCTTTGCCACTTGCAGTTTGCACCACGCACGTACAATCCATAACCACTCAAATAGTTATGCCTCACAACTAGATTAAAGTCAAGTGACTCTTGTAACACACTATATATATATATATACATACATACAAATATGCATATATATATATATATCAGTTTTTAAGGTCCTTCATCTTTTTTTATAGATATTTTATGTATGTAAAATGTAAACGTTGAGGTGTAACATTACATTTATTTTATGTATATTAATGATTTTAAAGATGTGTTATAGTTTGTGATAAAAAAATTTGTTGTCATGCATTTCAAGGTCCATTACTACAAAAAATTACAGGCATGTTACACGTTGCATTTGCATGTTACACATATATAAATGTTGTTACACTTCAACCTTTGTATGTGGAGTGGTCCTAAAAAAAAATATACATATTAATATTTAAAAATTAATATTTGTTTCATGTAAAAATGGCTTTATACAAAGTTATAACAATAATAAATTTTTCTATCACAAATCATTATTTTGCCATTTCAAAATCATTGTTACATAAAAAAGATAACAATATATAGGACGGTTTTTCGCGAATGATCAAAGACAAATCCAATGTGCCTATTTTAGTGAGAGCTTAAGCCGAACCACAAACCTAAACGTCTGATATTAATCCTATGTGCTCTCTCTCTCTCTCTCTCTCGTGTTAATCGAGAGAAGAGAAAATGATCTGAATTCATTTTACCCCTTTCTACTTTTATACTAAGAGTAAATCAAAACTGGAGCGTTTGAGAAAACAAACCTTTAGTTTGAACCACATATACTTCAAAGAAATATAACCCATGAAAATAACAAGTCGATGAGCTAGTTAAATCTATCTATATTGAACTTACCATAAATAAAAAGGTTTGAGGGAGAAAGAGAGAAATTAAATATTGCCAATGATGATTCCAACTACCATCTGCCTACCTTCACTTAGTTGACTTTGGAATAGTGCACCTAACTCTTTTTTATATGAGAAAATTTTAAATTTATCCTTTGTTTTTTCCAATTCTATTATGTATGTTACTGTATAAAATTTTAATGTCATTATAGAAAATAATCTGTAGAGTATGAAGCAATAACTTACCGTTTATGAAAGAAAATCTATAAAAAGATAACCAACAAGTTATTAGTGACGTAAGATAAATTTATTAGTGTTATTTTATAGATGACATTTTTGAAAATTTTTCCTTTTATTTTGTTTTTACTTCGCAAAAACAATTTCTAAACCATAAAATTTCCGCATATTTTCTTTTCTTTTTTTTATAAAGGATTTTAAGTTTTAACTTTACAAAACCTTTGAAATGTAGGAGTGAGAACAGTAAAATTCTTTTTGACAACAGGTAATCTTGATAAATATTTTTTAAAAGTGCATAAATTAAGATTTTTATTTTTTATTCATAACTTTTTTTATCATTTACTTTTGATTCATAACTTTCTTAGTCAAATAATTACATAAATAAATGAATATTTATAAAAAATAAGAGGTAAAAATTCAGACTTATCAACTCTTATGGGTAAATTATGTTTTTCTCTATGACAACTCCTCATTTAAGAGGCCTATTAAATTCTCTACCATGATTTCTGAACCATGTATTTATTGTGTCCTTGAAAACAAAACAAAAAAACTTGTTCTCTATGGGACTGGTTGTCACCAAAAAATGACATGTCCACCCACCTGTAATCTGCATCCCTATCTTCTGAATGATATTTATAGTCCAATGTACTGTCTACGCAAATTACAATATTTTGATAACATAAATTTCAATCTTAATGCACAACCATGCATCCGAATGGCTCTTTTTCTGCTGTTCTGCAAAATGCTTTTGGGAAAAAGTAGCAGAAACTAAAATTTGTAAAAACTTCTTTAGCAATATTATATATAAAAATATGTATATATATATATATATATACACACGTCATCTCTCTCAGCTGGACGACGAAGAACAGGAGAAACGTCCCAAAAATCCAAAAACGTGCTACAATTGTCGT